TGATAACTCCCTGAAGAGGAGGGTGAGGCTTAGCATCCACAGTGTGAGTTTAATGCTGAGGGGTGAGGGCAGGGTCGGTGGGAGCAGATACTTTAGAACACAGCAGAATGGTGGGTTCAAAAAGTGAATTTCTCATAGAAAATGCTGTTCATGTTTGCTTCCTGTCAGCTTGATACTGTTAGAGGAGCTTGTGTGCAAACCCAGTCCAAAACAGGATGTTAGCTTTTAGAGTTGGTTGATCTCTAAAATGCAAGTGCTTTTTTTTTTTTTTTTTCCCCTGTGGTTACCTTATCCCCCTTTTTTTTTCAGTTGAGAACTGAGTTGCTTGAGTGGGAACAGGAAGGGTTGAGACCCCATTTTCAGGAGGTCAAAAGCCCAATATGGTAATAGCTGCTGCTTAATAGTATGAATTCTGGAAAATTATGTGGATATCAGCAGCCAAAGCCAGTCAGAGAGTGAACAGAACAATCTCAGATACTGGCACTGATAGATGAGCTCTACTAAACCCTCAACAAGCGCCTTAAGAAAGTCCAGAGATTCAACCTGTCTTGCAGGATCCACAGCTCCCTCCACCCTTTGCTCATCCATCACCCTGAAAAACATACCTGCCCAGATTTGGAACCTACACAGACACACCTGAATAAGATAGCTGCATGAACACAAATATCAGACTCAAAGTTTCAGGTGCCCTCAAAAGCTTTCTTTCTGGAATAGTCTCTGAACAAAGAATTGCCAAGTACCTGCACCTCCTTTCTGCTGATCTAGCACCCTGTGGAGGCCCCATCATCCATACTTCATAGTCAAAATGTAAGACACCAGCAAATACTACACATGGTGTTTCTGAGTGTGGCAGAACCAGTTAAGCTGCCTCTTTTGTAGACATGCCAGGATGAAGGATTTCCTTGCACCTCTCCCTCATATGCTGTCTGCAGGAGGAGTATTGGTCATTTGGCCTGAAGCAAACTTGCTGGTTTGGCCTCACATGTCTTGAAAATATTCAGCTGGGAAGCTGCAAAATCCAGGCGCCCACAACTGCAACATTTTCTTAATCAGATGAAATTTCCCCCTCGAGCCTGTTTTTTTTTTCCTTCCTGAGCAGAACAGATGTAAAAACATTTTTTTGCGTATGTGAACAAATTAGTGTTGCAGACACTGCTATATCCCAGAAGGTCTGTAAACAGAGATACACACAGAGATGCAGAGTCACAGTCTAAAATATCTGCACATTCATACTTGTATGCACACCTCATGTAAAACACCCAGTTCCTCAGTATAACCTACCTTAATAATACTTGTTACAAGGTTCTTGTAGCTAAGCCTGTGGGTTCTTTTGTTTCAGATTTTCTAGTGTTTTTCAGTCCAGAAACAAGAATGTCTAGAGTAAATCCACACCTCATGTCTTCCTGTCTGGAGAAAAACATACACCATATTTCTGTGCTTTCTCTCCTTGCTCCTTCAGGAAAAAAGCTTTAGCATTAATAAACTGAGTATTGTGTACTATGCTCATATCAATGGTATTTGGGAATCCTGCTGGCAGAAAAGATTTGCCTTGTGGCAAGGTATTTGGGAACAGAAATAAATAGAGTGAAGAACTGTGGTGGCGCAGCTGCAACTACCTTTGCTTTATTAGTACAGGTAAAGTGATACCGCCTCTGCCTAGCAGTTTCCTTTCCTGTAGACCTATGCAAACTGTTTCCTCTGCAGAGTACAACCCCTGAAAGCTGTAAGAAAATACTCAAATAGACCTTGAGCAGCATGAAGTAACCATTAGAAGTATGTGATTTTGATGGTCTGTTAGATGGTGGACATCTTGAAAACACCACTTGTGACCAATGCCCACAGTGAAACCTCTGAGCATAAAATCCTCTTTCTGTCCCAACAGCAGGCAAAGTACGAGCAGCCAAAGCATCCTGCCCTCCCCACCTCACCCTGCTTCTCCATTCAGTTCCTATCCTCTCTCCTAGCATACCTGTGTCAGAATTTCCAGTCAAGAAGGAATTTCATTTTTATATTTCTTTTAAGTTTTTAATCTATTTTCTCATATCTATAGTTGCAGCATCTTCTGGTTGCTTACAGCAGAAGGTTTCAACTAATCCAGTGTTTCAGCAAAAGAAGATTAATTAGTCTTCTTGCCCAATCTCCAGATTGCAGCAACTCAGCCTATCATTCTTTTGGCTAAGGACTGGGTAAATGTTGTATATTGAATTTGGGAGATAATGAGATCATAATTTAAATCTGCTAATTTCACAGGAGTCCTACAACATGCAGTACAGCAACAGTTAACTATACTGTAAAAACAGCTATGTTGAGATGATTTATCAGTAATAATAATCTGGGATATCATGATAGATTTAAATCCATTCTGGAGTGTTTTCTGCCATAGCCAGCAGGGACTTGTGAAACACAGCAAAGGAAAAGTATTATCCATTTCAGAAAAGCTGCTTTAACCCTGTTCTGCCCTCGGGGCATCATCCCAAATGACGACATGACATTGTATCACTTTGCAGCTGCATTAGAAACAAGGAAGCCAGCAGAAGACAAAGGGAGCGTTTGCAAATTCCTCTGCACCGCCCTGCTCTCGGGAGGTGGGGACTGAAATTCTTGACAAGGAGCATGTGCAAACAGTTGCTAAAAGAGATGTCTAGTTTACAACACTGCGATCTGAATGGAAAAGGAAACCATAGCAAAACATTCCTGAGGCTTATTTTTTCCCATCTGAATTTTCTGCCACCAGGGAAGCTTCTAACTTCTAGTGCACAAGTCTGTGAAGGGAGAGAATAACATCCTGCACCTTCTGACCTGGTAGTGTGACACGTGAATTCAAGGTGGAAAGAGCTAGTCCTGCTGTACAACTCACCAGTGACACTTTGCATGGGCACCCTCTCCTTGTACTCACATCTGTGTGGTGCACTTTGCAGTGAAGCCTCTGTTTGAGGAGTCACCCAGCAGCATGGTAGTGCTGCTGGTACCATTGTCAAACCTGGAAGTCCCAGCCACACACCAGGACACCAAAGCCTTAAATTCTGTTCAGAAGCAATAATCACCCTCACTCTGCTCCTCTTCTGCCTCTCTGAAGAGGCAAAACAGGGCAAGGGGAGATGGGCATGGAATAAAGATAAGGTGATAGAAAATAGGAAGGGGAGAAAGAGAGGAAAGGAGAAAACACACATGTGGTGTCCTCAAGTTTGGGCACAGCAGCAGAGTTGGCGTCTTGTTGTCTCATAAGCCCAGCATTCTGGGAATGACAGTATCTGTTTAGGTTTGTGTCTAAATTTAAACCCTGATTGCCTTGCCTCCCCCCGCTTCCCTCCCTCCCTTCCTCTCACCCACCCGCCCTTCTTCCTTGTTTGTAGCACAGGGCCACTGGCCGGGCTCTGTCCGTTTTCAAGCCGAGCAGGAGGTTGGATATTACATGCTCTCCTCAGCGACGCGATTTTGCTCTGGCTCAGCTGAAGTTTTCCCACAGATAAGAGGGAAAGGGGTGGGGAAGCAAGACTGCCCCGAGGACACCTCTCTCTTGCAGGACATGGAGGTAAAGAGAACTTTTATTTCCACTAGCTTGTGACTGGCTCCTCGATCTGCATTAGCTCCACCTTGCAACGCAATTTCTCACTAAAGGCAGCTCAAAATATCTCTTCGCTGAGGTTCAGATAAATGCCCTTTTCCTCCTGCTCCAACCCCTGCCATGCACCTCAGAATATTTTGCAGGTTTTAGTCCAGATTTGGAAAGTAGGGGAATGGTATTGGGGAGAAATTACAGCTGTGAAAGGGGAACGAGAAAGGACTGCCTGTTACTTTTTCGGTCTCTGAGGTGGGAGAGTTACATTTTAAAAGGTATAATTTTGAAAGGTGATTCAGTATAAATGGGGACATAAAGAGAAGTGAACAAATTGTACAGAGCTAGCGAGCTCCTTGGGTTTGCTTCCTACCCAAACCCTGCTGCAGCAGCTGTGATTTGGACCCTAAGTGGTGTGTCCCCCTGTTCCACGTGGATTGAGCAGCCTCACGGTCATTATCAATAGAGCATTTTGGTTCAGGAAAGAGAACCCGAGAACCGTTGCTGCGGTGAGGTAAATGAGTAGCACACCCCTAGAGGGTTTCCTGTGCCTTTTTCTCCATGCTTCATGTCCTGTGCTTCAGAAGAGTCAGAGCTCTTGTCTCTGGATGGGCATATGGCTCATGGACAGGCATCAGCCTTCCTTGGCACTTAAATCCAAGCCTTCTGTGTAGCACCCTGTTGGGCAAGGCAGTTCACCTCCCTTTGCCTCCTTTCCCATTCATATGAAGCAGGAGCACTGGCACTTGCTTTGCTCATGTCAGACTGGATTCGCTAGCTTTTCAAACATTTTTTTAAGTGGCAAGGGGAAGATATTTGTTTTTTAGGAAGGACACGGGAGATAGAAAGGCTATTACAACATTGGCAAAACATCAAATGACGAAAGAGGAATTGTGGTATTTCTCTCAGCTAAACACAGATCTTACAAAACACTTTGTATTATGTTCCCAGAGAAGCCTTTTTCTTCATCAGTGCAGCCTCAACAGCAGGAGACACACAGCAAACCCAGGGAACAGTGTGCTTGAGGCACTATTGCAACTTTTCTTTGAAGATTTCCAGTGCATAGCTCAGCTGGGTAGGTTCTGATAATGCCCAGGTGCCAACATCACAGTCCTTGTTATCTGTGCTGGCCTGCCTTACAGGCAAGGGTTAAAGATCAGGCACATTAATTACAAAAAAAGTGTCCTTAACAACCTATCTAAACAGATTCTGGTGCGGAGAAGGACCAAGTAACAACCAAAAGCAACTCAGGCAGACTACATGTGGCATGACAAATACATAGCTTTATGAGTTGCTAGGGCCTGGATGAATAACTGTTAATGCTTGTTTAATTCTTTTTTGCTGTGTAGTATCCTGTGATGTCTCAGAGGGGAAGGGGAGCTGAGCTCTTAATTTGTTGTAACTGCTGTGCACAGTTAGCCGCGTATAGAGCAAAGATTAACTTAGGGCTGAAGGAGAAATTTTGTCATGTTGAGGACGCTCTCTCCCACCCCATCTCCCCTCAACAGACAGAGGACTTCACCCCTTGGAGTATTTTCTGTTGTTTGCTATGGCAGTGTTTCAGAGTAGAAAGGGACAGATCTGCCATTTCCTTTTGGGAGACACGTGCAACACATACAGCAGGTCTGATGGTCAGGAAGCTTCTCTGAAGTATTTAACTAACAGTTTCCTGCTCTTGATTCTCTCCCTTTGCCTCTGTTTCCCACTTTTTCCCCATGTTACCTTGTTTTCTGATAATCTGCAGATTGCTGCATCCATTCTTATTTTTAAAAAGTCTCAGCTCCCAAGACATTTTTTAAGTAATGCACTTGGTCTATGTGCCAAGAATGAGAACTAGAGTTCCCACCTGCCAATTCTCTGCTTTGTTTCCTCCTGAAAGCTTTTCACAGGTAGTGTGAGCAGGACCCATAGACTCACTACAGTCTTTTGCTTTAAAAACAGATTTAATGGTCCTGTGCAACAGGAATGAGAGGTTTGGTAATTTCCCCATTTTCTCCATCAGTGGCAGGCAGCACTGCTCCATGCTTTCCTGCTGGCATAAATGGCAAGCTCTTTGCTCTAGTGGGACATGTGGATTACCAGCATTAGAGAGAAAAGGGCAGAGGGCTGACCTCTATCACATCTCTGGCAGGAGGACCCTATTTTTTAAAAACCCACAGAAGCAAGATAGTTGGGATTGCTTTCTTAGAGTGGTTAGTGTGTTTCTGCTGCTCCTTAGGGACCTACAGTCCAGTCTTAGCCATTCTGCTTTTAGGAATGTACCACATTGAAAGCAGTAACTGTAACCATCTGAGATCCAAGAGAGGGAGAAAAAGGCAGAAAACCTTTGCACTTTACATAATTTTGTGAGTCTGCTGATCTTCAGGTTGGTTTTTTTTTTTTTTGTTTTTTTTTTTTGTTTGGTTTGGTTTGGTTTTTTTTGTTTGTTTGTTTTTTGGTTTGGTTTGTTTTTTTGTGAAGACCCAGCTTCTTGATGCAAAGACAGATTTGAGAATCAGTTGTCTTTCCAGTGTTATGACTCATGAAATGAACTTGAAATCATGAAGCTTGTATCACAGACTGTTAACATGAAGAGTTCATACCAAAAATGTGTAAAGCTGGCACTGATGAAAGCTAAGCCACTTGTAAGCCAAGTTCTTTGCACCCATGGTACAAAAAGGATGGGAAATTATTGGTTTGGTTAGTTAGTTTATATCTTCAGATTTGGTCCCAGCTGTCTAATTCCCATAGCTGTACCAAACCTTGCTGCAGATGTTGTGAGTTAAGGCATACACTGAAAGTGCTTGTGGCTTTCTGCAGACCATATTCAACAGTAGTCATGGCATTCCTCTTCCCAGCTTCTCTGTAGGAGCTTGGGAGCATGGAGACTTTTGAACTTTACTCACATAACGAAGGGAAGCAATCAAAGACTGAATTTCACTTTGTTGACTCCCAGTGCAGTAAGTTTCCTAAGCTGCAAAGGTGCAGCAACCAGGTTTGTTTTGGGAAGGCTCCCCTTTTCTTTCTGTCTACCAATAAATTTCATTTATTTCTGTGACATCTCCATTCCCATGTCTCTTTTCTGCAAGTAGCTCCTGCTAGATCTTCATTTTGCCCGTTGTTACACTGGCTCAGGAGAGGGAAAGCTTTTCCAAGGCCAAGAGCAGTTTCCCGCTCACTGTGCCATTTCCCTTCTGGGCAGCCTACTGGACACAGCTCCAGCCCCAGGCCCTGTGCTCTCCCTTCCCCTCTATGTCCTCATCCGGGACATCTGGGGAGTATCAGGCTTTTCAGTAAAGCCCCCTCCTGTGTCAGGTGAGGGTACCACAAATTAGTCCTGGGTCCTGTCCTACTCTTCTGGCAAGCAGCAGAGAAGAATGGAGAAAATTCCTTTGAGTCCTCTGTTTTCAGTCTCACAGGGAGGCTGCAGAAACCTTTTGGGGTTCAAACATATCCCCACCTTCAACAGGCAAGGCCAGAAGCCATTCCTTAAGTTGTGCTTTCGTCAGCCAGACATCACAACTGAGCACATTTCCAGGTCCGGTATCCCAGTCACTGCATCCTTCCAGGAGCCACAGGGAATGATACCCTCGCCCAAACTACAGGCCAGCTTTCTTTCTACATGAACACTTACCTTGTCTTTAGGAAAACTGCACTAAGGATGTGTGACCTGTCACCCAAGAGGACTGACGTGCAGGGGATGGAGGAGAGTTCTTGGTACTGTGCAGGTGAGGGGGGCTGAAATCTGTAACCATTATGGTCCTCAGAGCAGCAGGACAGTAAGCCACACAAAGGTGAGCTGTGCTGAGAGAGGTCTTTGCCCACCCTGGTATCTGTGAAGCAAGGTTAAGTACAGGCATTACACCATGGTAAGCTCTGCCAGGAAACAATGTCCCTTTCTCAGGAAGCTCTGCTGCTTGGCTTTTGTTCCAAAAGTTAAAACATTCCTCGTCTACTTTTCTTCTTGCTTAAGAGAACATTTTCACCTCAAATACACTTCTTTGCAGTGTTTCCTCCCAAACTCATCAGCGTGATGCATGACATTCACACAGAGTGTCTGTGTAGGTAAAGGGAAGACTATTTAAATATACTAGGAGAGGTACCATATGACCCCATTTTACTCCTTAGATCCGGGCAGACTTAGGACTTGCATGACAGCAAGTAGCATGTCTGCAGCAGAGGATCCTGGAAAGGGTTGGGTTTGCCAGGCTTCCACTTTCCAGTGACTGGATGAGGCCTCACTCTCACAGGACAGAAGGAACAAAACCAAATCCCATGGGCTGCACTGTGACACCTTCTTGTAGCTAGCAGAGACCCCAGAGTAAATGATTTGCAGAATTAAAGCTTTTCCTGCATCCCTGGAGAGGGATGATTTTTAGGAACCCCTCCTCTCCCTCACTTCCCATTTTAACCTTTGGTTGTCAGAGTATCCCAGGTCACAGTGATATCATTTTGGAAAAGTCTTCTTTACCGTACTCTCTAGTCTGACTGGCAGGATGTGTAACTGTTGAGCAGCATATTACACATACCTTCTCATGCATTCCCAGGATCTGCTTATCTGAAGAACAGGGGAAAACATCAGCATTGCTTTCTTGATAGGTGCTGCTAGGAAACTACTGTTTTTCGTCATGGAAACGACCAAGCCCATAAAAACTAGAGGTGGTTTTCCTTTCTGTTTCCATGTGATTGGTTAATGGTTGTAGAGCAGTGGATGCTCCTTTTCTTAAAATATTGTCTGCAGCATGAATTTGGGATCTGAGATGGCAGCTGTACCCAGCAGCAAGAGAACTTGTTTGGAGAACCTGTTTTACTGGTGAAGCTTTCTTGCTTCCTGTAGATGCTATAATACTGCAGAGACACAGCTTGTCTTGGTGATCTGTGGACAATTATATGCCTTTAGCAGTTTGCACCATGGCATGCGTGAGGATGAAGTTAGTCTAGAGACAGGAGATCTGTTGTGTAAGAAGTTATCATTATGCATTCACTGCACAGTTGCT